ATATACAGATGAATGGATATGGGGAGAAAAAAGGAATAAAATAATGAATCACCTCGACGTCCTGTTGTACATTTCCACTTTTAACACTACACTTCGGTGGTTCAAACTCCTCTCTTAAGTCAGAATTCTTCCATCAAGCTGCAATTGTTTGTTGATCTACTCACTGGAATAACACAGAAAGCTCCACACTGTTCTTCATGAAAATTTCCAAAATAGACCCGTATTTAGAGAAGCCTCCCTTGTAATCTAATAAAGAAGTCACTGTTGCTTGGAAGTTTGAGCTTCCCGTTACTGTAACAATCTTTGTTTCTCAATATGCAAATTTACATGATAATTCATTAGTCACTTCCGCTGCTAAGTCTATCTGAAAGCAAAATGTCGAATTAGAAAATCATATTATGGACATGCATTACTTGAGGCATCGATGGTTATAAATGAGGGGATGCGTTAACGAAACAAATACCTGATGTACGCTTCCCTTCCATGGCTTCTCTCTTCTCCTGGCAACTTGAACAAAGGAAAGGTCCATCCCAGGGACGCAACCTTCCTGGATTAGACGCACCCACGTGTATGGAAATACCCTCCCCAGGTTTAATCTCTACCTGACACACTGCGCAGACAAACAACTTGAACATGTTGCAGAGTGGATATTTTGTTTCCAACCTGCATATTTGACAAGGATGTCTCATGTTAAGAGGAATATAACTAAAGAGCAAGATGCCAACATTCACAAAACATGTTATGAAACCAGACCTCTCTGAAAGCATAGCAGATCCTTCCTCGTATAGTTCCCGTACCACATCTGGCTCAACGTATTGTTTGTCAATGTAAGATGATGATTCAGAGGCCTTTTTGCGAAAAATGGACTTAAGCCTTCCTTTTACCGGTTTCTTTTGTGTTGTCCCTGAAGTAGGTGGCTTCTCCTGCGGATATACATCAATAACAATGCAGGTTGTGTCATCTCTAAGTCCCTTTGCTTGCACGGCTTCCTGAAGGAAGAAAAGAAGCAGTAGGTACAAATAGAAATAAGTAATATTTCCCTCCAATTTTAGTACATATTTTAGTACAAATTGCTGATCATTTGACATTAATTTCTTATGTAAAATATGTGCATACTTTCACAATATGTGGTGCGGCAACCTCAGCTGACATGCCACGACAGCAATCAAAGGCCATTTCTGCTGTTAGAGCATCCCAGACACCATCACTGCTGATAATGATCCTGCCTCCAGCAGTAGAAAGCTGCACAAACAGACACGAGAGGAAAATGCAGAAATTAAGCACTGTAAGGGAATAAAAAATACGGAAGGATTGACAACAGGAAACAATCATTTCGAGTTTTAAAAGGAAATAGATAATCTTCAGAAAAAAAATATTTAAATGCTCTTTATGAATTGGAAGAGAATCATGCCACTATTTCAGCCTACGAAGCAGAGATAGAGAACAAATAAGAACTAAACTTAAGTATACAAAAAAATTATATACAATACATTAAAGTAAAATTAAGAAGTGAAGCGTGAGAGAAACAACTAATGAACATAAAACACAAGAAAAAAATGGCCAACCTTCACTTGCTTTACGTGTGGTACAGGGACAATAAATTCACCAACATCCTTATCACCAATGGATCGGGAGAGACACAAACCACCTGGCCAACATCTCAAAGGACCAACCTACAAATATCGTTAATCTAGTAAGGTATAGGACAACTTAAAAGCAAGTTTTTTATAAAGAGAATATTAGAAAATTGCAAAGGAAGATAATTTATAAATCATCACAAATGACCAGTATAACACCAATAATGTAAACAAAAGTTATCCTAAAAATATTAAGAAAATTGATGACATGTGATGAGTAATGTTAAGCGAAAGTCGTGATCCTACAACTAGCAAAAATTATCTCGCTTCTCGACAATCCACAGTATAATTGACCTAGTTTACTTCTTAATATCTGCTTATCTAGTTTAACTGTTCAAGCGTAGTGCACAGAAAGATAAATATTGCTGTTGCCAGAGGCATCAAACCCATTGGACAACCAGCCTCACTCCCTGCTTCAATTTTAGCAATGGCGACATTGTTTTCCTAAAAGGGGGTGGTGGTGAGAGGTATTGAAGTTTTTAGGGAATCAGTTCCATGAAAGATAAAAAAAGGAATCACAATTAAAAAAGAAAAATACCTCTGTGCCTCCCCCTGTATTTAGACGACCAACCTCACCTCCACTAGAAGTGATGCGGACCCTCCTGATTAAAAGAAAAAAAAAAGGTTGAGGCGGTGCTGAAATGTAATGTAGCAATTCCAACAGTTATTCAAACAAACCATTCCAGTAACAACTCACTCCTCTTCGTTGCTATCTAGTCTATGGTCTGCTGACAAGTAATAAATCCCACCCTCATGAGGTTCAAGTATGCAACGGGAATCACCAACTGATGCAACTGTCACAACACATCCATCTATAATCATGAAGGTTGCAGTTGTTCCTGATGTTTGTGCTGTACAAGTAAAGATAATAGTGTATATTAAATCAACATAAAAGTTAAGAAAATACAACAAAAAGCTTGGTAAATCGTAAGTATAAAACCTATCAGTCACAGCTCAGCTAGTAATTTTCATTAGAAAATGTATGTTCTCCAAGAACTATGGCAATGTCTTATTTTTCATTTGGGGTGTTCAACTGCCCTTATGCCTAAACAAGATTAAACTGTTCTCGGTATGCATTAGACAATTAAAGCTATAGCTGACGAAAATATAAGCACGTTTTTTATGGTTGGAAAAATATTATGAGAGCTTCATGATATAGTCAACATATTCAGCATGAATTCTACCTTCTATTCTTTAATTTATTTTTTTTTTTTTTTGCTTTTGACAATTGAGAATATTGACTAGTTGTTTACGTAAAGAGTAATACTAAGTTATCCTATAATGTTTTCCCATCAATTCCCACAGCTTACTAGATGAAAAAAGTATTGAATACATTTAACTTTTTATCCAACACAGTTTACTTTTTCACTCAATAATTTCTTTAAAAAGTACGATGTTACATAGAAGATACAGCAATACTCTTTGGCAACATTACATCATTACTATGAAGATTTCAAATAGAAGACACGAATTTGCCTCATAAGCTAATAATTAATAGAAACAAGAACAAACACTACATTTATACCTTTTCTTTGAAAATCTTTATCAGTTTTTACAAAGCCTGCAACCAAAGCCCTAGGCAACGCTGAAACCCACTCATCTCTGTTAAGATCAGAAGGAATTGCACTTAAAACGTTGTTCAGAAGATTCTCCTTGGCATAAATAGCGGCAGCAGATCCATTATGTCCATCAAATAGCTGTAAAACATCGACATCAGAGAATGCAAGTACAAGAAGAAAAAAATAGTTTACTTTGTATTAACATCAGCATCATCGAAAAACCGCGAACAAAATCTTGTCATTCAACTAATGCAACTGAATTAGAAAAAAAACTTTTACTTGCTTTCACATACACAAACAAAAGCTAGCTATCAAGAAGTAGCCGGTGAACAATCATTTCAATTTGCTAGAAAAATCAATTCTGAGGGAAAACTCTTGGAAAATCGCTTCTAGGGTAAAACCTTGGCAAGTGAACAATAAAATCAGTAATATGGGCTTCCATGTTGAAAGAGAAATCATACCATTGGCAATTTGCTAGAACTGTCTCCAGTTTTGACTATCTAAGAGTGTGTTTGAAAATCCACAGAAAAATAACAAATCACAGTTTGAAACGTAAAAGATATGACTATCAGTTTCTTACTAAGGAGGAAAAACCACATCTGAGATACGGCGGATCCAAACATCAAATTTAAGCAAAAATAAGAAGTGATTGACTTCAAATTGTATGCAACTCAACAAGAAGTAGGCAGTCAACAAGCTGAATTTGCATTGTACTCACTGAAAGCTCTTTCAATTTTATATATCATAATGTCATGTCAGTGTATCATACATAAAATAAGACATCTCACACACATTGACTTCCGATGCATCATCACAATCACATTAAAACTCACACACGAATTGCAACATTCATTGAATCCACTTTTACAGAAAAAAAAAAGCAGGAAGCGACGGTATGAAAAAGGAACATAACATACCCCAAAAACAGAATACGTAGAAACCCCATCTCCCACCACCCTCTGGCATTCCGTCTTCAGCAGCGTGAAATCCTCTCCTTTCTTATTCTCACTGGCTTGACCGTGCACGAGGACAACATCCGGCTTCTCAGTTTTCTCGTTGGCCAACTCACGCTTCAGCAGCACCGAAAGGGGAACCGTTTGGCGTTCACCCAGACCAGACATTGTTCGCGCCGATGAACCTCAATTTCTCCGACACGACACACCGACACGCAGTGCTTTAATCCTCCATATGGTTGCAAGAAAATCGTAAAATAGGAGAGAATCGGACACAGCAACCAATTGTGGTAACGGAAATGACTATAAGATGGCAATGCGGAGAAAGGGGGAGGTTAAGACAGCGTGGAATGGAGCCGTCGAAAAACGCGGATCCCGGCGTTCTGCAAAGCTTGCATTCTTGTTTGTATGGTTGAATAATGCACTCAACAACGCAGAGACAACAAAGCACAAAACTAAACGAAACAGAGAGATTAATGAATGAACCGTTTTCTTTTTCTTTCTAAGCCCCCAAAGAACACGGTGAATGACGTGACATGGCAAAAACGCATCGTTTCATTCGTCCGCGCCAGCCAGGCACGTTCAATGTCAACGTTTTCTTCACTCTACCTCCCTGTCAAATTCACTTCCCAAACTCCACTTTTTTTCATCAAATCTACTCCACCCAAAACTAAAACACTCAACCTTCAAAAATATACCCATTCAAATTTTATTTTTATCATTTTCTTATACTAACTACCATAAAAAATTATTACTTTATCGTAATTTGTAACTAAATAATTGTATGAAAAAATCACCACTCCCAATACTATTACAAAATCGTATAGGCGATTGATGTTCGATTCAATACATTACAGAAAACACTTACTGGAATAACAAAATAAATAATCGTACAAAACCATTTTGCAGTATGAGTTTATTAAAATATATTCTTTAATAATTGAGTTTTTTTTTTNGCAGGTTGTGTCATCTCTAAGTCCCTTTGCTTGCACGGCTTCCTGAAGGAAGAAAAGAAGCAGTAGGTACAAATAGAAATAAGTAATATTTCCCTCCAATTTTAGTACATATTTTAGTACAAATTGCTGATCATTTGACATTAATTTCTTATGTAAAATATGTGCATACTTTCACAATATGTGGTGCGGCAACCTCAGCTGACATGCCACGACAGCAATCAAAGGCCATTTCTGCTGTTAGAGCATCCCAGACACCATCACTGCTGATAATGATCCTGCCTCCAGCAGTAGAAAGCTGCACAAACAGACACGAGAGGAAAATGCAGAAATTAAGCACTGTAAGGGAATAAAAAATACGGAAGGATTGACAACAGGAAACAATCATTTCGAGTTTTAAAAGGAAATAGATAATCTTCAGAAAAAAAATATTTAAATGCTCTTTATGAATTGGAAGAGAATCATGCCACTATTTCAGCCTACGAAGCAGAGATAGAGAACAAATAAGAACTAAACTTAAGTATACAAAAAAATTATATACAATACATTAAAGTAAAATTAAGAAGTGAAGCGTGAGAGAAACAACTAATGAACATAAAACACAAGAAAAAAATGGCCAACCTTCACTTGCTTTACGTGTGGTACAGGGACAATAAATTCACCAACATCCTTATCACCAATGGATCGGGAGAGACACAAACCACCTGGCCAACATCTCAAAGGACCAACCTACAAATATCGTTAATCTAGTAAGGTATAGGACAACTTAAAAGCAAGTTTTTTATAAAGAGAATATTAGAAAATTGCAAAGGAAGATAATTTATAAATCATCACAAATGACCAGTATAACACCAATAATGTAAACAAAAGTTATCCTAAAAATATTAAGAAAATTGATGACATGTGATGAGTAATGTTAAGCGAAAGTCGTGATCCTACAACTAGCAAAAATTATCTCGCTTCTCGACAATCCACAGTATAATTGACCTAGTTTACTTCTTAATATCTGCTTATCTAGTTTAACTGTTCAAGCGTAGTGCACAGAAAGATAAATATTGCTGTTGCCAGAGGCATCAAACCCATTGGACAACCAGCCTCACTCCCTGCTTCAATTTTAGCAATGGCGACATTGTTTTCCTAAAAGGGGGTGGTGGTGAGAGGTATTGAAGTTTTTAGGGAATCAGTTCCATGAAAGATAAAAAAAGGAATCACAATTAAAAAAGAAAAATACCTCTGTGCCTCCCCCTGTATTTAGACGACCAACCTCACCTCCACTAGAAGTGATGCGGACCCTCCTGATTAAAAGAAAAAAAAAAGGTTGAGGCGGTGCTGCAATGTAATGTAGCAATTCCAACAGTTATTCAAACAAACCATTCCAGTAACAACTCACTCCTCTTCGTTGCTATCTAGTCTATGGTCTGCTGACAAGTAATAAATCCCACCCTCATGAGGTTCAAGTATGCAACGGGAATCACCAACTGATGCAACTGTCACAACACATCCATCTATAATCATGAAGGTTGCAGTTGTTCCTGATGTTTGTGCTGTACAAGTAAAGATAATAGTGTATATTAAATCAACATAAAAGTTAAGAAAATACAACAAAAAGCTTGGTAATTCGTAAGTATAAAACCTATCAGTCACAGCTCAGCTAGTAATTTTCATTAGAAAATGTATGTTCTCCAAGAACTATGGCAATGTCTTATTTTTCATTTGGGGTGTTCAACTGCCCTTATGCCTAAACAAGATTAAACTGTTCTCGGTATGCATTAGACAATTAAAGCTATAGCTGACGAAAATATAAGCACGTTTTTTATGGTTGGAAAAATATTATGAGAGCTTCATGATATAGTCAACATATTCAGCATGAATTCTACCTTCTATTCTTTAATTTATTTTTTTTTTTTTTTGCTTTTGACAATTGAGAATATTGACTAGTTGTTTACGTAAAGAGTAATACTAAGTTATCCTATAATGTTTTCCCATCAATTCCCACAGCTTACTAGATGAAAAAAGTATTGAATACATTTAACTTTTTATCCAACACAGTTTACTTTTTCACTCAATAATTTCTTTAAAAAGTACGATGTTACATAGAAGATACAGCACTACTCTTTGGCAACATTACATCATTACTATGAAGATTTCAAATAGAAGACACGAATTTGCCTCATAAGCTAATAATTAATAGAAACAAGAACAAACACTACATTTATACCTTTTCTTTGAAAATCTTTATCAGTTTTTACAAAGCCTGCAACCAAAGCCCTAGGCAACGCTGAAACCCACTCATCTCTGTTAAGATCAGAAGGAATTGCACTTAAAACGTTGTTCAGAAGATTCTCCTTGGCATAAATAGCGGCAGCAGATCCATTATGTCCATCAAATAGCTGTAAAACATCGACATCAGAGAATGCAAGTACAAGAAGAAAAAAATAGTTTACTTTGTATTAACATCAGCATCATCGAAAAACCGCGAACAAAATCTTGTCATTCAACTAATGCAACTGAATTAGAAAAAAAACTTTTACTTGCTTTCACATACACAAACAAAAGCTAGCTATCAAGAAGTAGCCGGTGAACAATCATTTCAATTTGCTAGAAAAATCAATTCTGAGGGAAAACTCTTGGAAAATCGCTTCTAGGGTAAAACCTTGGCAAGTGAACAATAAAATCAGTAATATGGGCTTCCATGTTGAAAGAGAAATCATACCATTGGCAATTTGCTAGAACTGTCTCCAGTTTTGACTATCTAAGAGTGTGTTTGAAAATCCACAGAAAAATAACAAATCACAGTTTGAAACGTAAAAGATATGACTATCAGTTTCTTACTAAGGAGGAAAAACCACATCTGAGATACGGCGGATCCAAACATCAAATTTAAGCAAAAATAAGAAGTGATTGACTTCAAATTGTATGCAACTCAACAAGAAGTAGGCAGTCAACAAGCTGAATTTGCATTGTACTCACTGAAAGCTCTTTCAATTTTATATATCATAATGTCATGTCAGTGTATCATACATAAAATAAGACATCTCACACACATTGACTTCCGATGCATCATCACAATCACATTAAAACTCACACACGAATTGCAACATTCATTGAATCCACTTTTACAGAAAAAAAAAAAGCAGGAAGCGACGGTATGAAAAAGGAACATAACATACCCCAAAAACAGAATACGTAGAAACCCCATCTCCCACCACCCTCTGGCATTCCGTCTTCAGCAGCGTGAAATCCTCTCCTTTCTTATTCTCACTGGCTTGACCGTGCACGAGGACAACATCCGGCTTCTCAGTTTTCTCGTTGGCCAACTCACGCTTCAGCAGCACCGAAAGGGGAACCGTTTGGCGTTCACCCAGACCAGACATTGTTCGCGCCGATGAACCTCAATTTCTCCGACACGACACACCGACACGCAGTGCTTTAATCCTCCATATGGTTGCAAGAAAATCGTAAAATAGGAGAGAATCGGACACAGCAACCAATTGTGGTAACGGAAATGACTATAAGATGGCAATGCGGAGAAAGGGGGAGGTTAAGACAGCGTGGAATGGAGCCGTCGAAAAACGCGGATCCCGGCGTTCTGCAAAGCTTGCATTCTTGTTTGTATGGTTGAATAATGCACTCAACAACGCAGAGACAACAAAGCACAAAACTAAACGAAACAGAGAGATTAATGAATGAACCGTTTTCTTTTTCTTTCTAAGCCCCCAAAGAACACGGTGAATGACGTGACATGGCAAAAACGCATCGTTTCATTCGTCCGCGCCAGCCAGGCACGTTCAATGTCAACGTTTTCTTCACTCTACCTCCCTGTCAAATTCACTTCCCAAACTCCACTTTTTTTCATCAAATCTACTCCACCCAAAACTAAAACACTCAACCTTCAAAAATATACCCATTCAAATTTTATTTTTATCATTTTCTTATACTAACTACCATAAAAAATTATTACTTTATCGTAATTTGTAACTAAATAATTGTATGAAAAAATCACCACTCCCAATACTATTACAAAATCGTATAGGCGATTGATGTTCGATTCAATACATTACAGAAAACACTTACTGGAATAACAAAATAAATAATCGTACAAAACCATTTTGCAGTATGAGTTTATTAAAATATATTCTTTAATAATTGAGTTTTTTTTTTAATTTGGGAGAGTTATTCATAAAGTGTAAATTAAGATTTGTGAAAAAGCAATAATAGAAAGTGTATGGGTAACATCGGGATATCCAAATTCGCCAACAATTAGAAGGCCCTACCCTACATGTTTTCAGAGTGAGTCAGGACGGAAATTTCCAGGATAACTACTTTATTTTACAAAATTTTAAATATATATATATATTGTTTAAATAAAGAATTTTAAAAATTATAGGACTAATTTAATTATTAAAATTATATACAAGCGTGTGGATATATTGTTGCTGTAGTTTGCAAAAAAGTAAATATAAGAGTATACTATCCACGTAAAATTATTACTGAACTTTTAATATTGATGAATTTCTAGTCTAATAAAATGTATGTATTTTATGCGTGTCATGAACAGTATGTGAAGTAAGTAGATATCATTAGACCTAACTAAATAATTTAAAAACATGATATTTAAACTAATTGAATATTAATTATATTTGGGTTCTTTGGTGGATCTTCGTTTAATTTGAAGAATCATCTTTCGTATCTTGTCTTAATATGTAAGATTAGATTCTTTGAACTTTTGTCATAATTCAAGCATTAAGGAAAGAATAAAAAGAACAAGTCAACATTTTTATATTTATCGTTAAAAAAATGAATATACTAAAGTGATTTTAATAAAACTCAATGCTAAAAAAAACACCGCTTAAATACTTTCTTATAATTTGAAACGAAGATGTATTACACATACAGATATCAATAATCTATTAGTTCACCAATGTTAAATAGAAAATAATACTAAAGTAATTATATAATTAATGAAGAAAAAATAATACACGTTGTATTATTTATGGATAATGATACTTTGACCATATTTTTTAACAATATTTTAACATATTTATGTATCATTTTGTGATTAGTCCATATTAATGTTTATAAATATTATTATATATTATAGAGTAATTTTGGACCAATTACAAAATAATACGTATATGATATTAAAATATTGTAAAAAAATGTTGCAAAAACATCATTGTCCTTTATAACTAAAAAGCTACCTACTGCATGAGTTTATCGGATCTACTCTCACTTGATCAAAGTTTATAGAGTTTAAAGTGAAAAAACATTTGTTTGACTTTTTCATTTTCTTTTCCTCCGATGAATCTGAGATTGAAGATAATGTTAAAAATAACCAAACTCGTTTTCACTCCTTGAATTCTGAATAATATATCTTCCAGTGATAACATTTTCTCCTCATTAGGTTTTCTAGTTGAGATGATGTTTTTGTAGTTCAGTATGTGTTGAGTAATTTTTTAGTTCAGAACTTATTTTAAAAAAAATTACTAAAATAAATAATTATTTAAGTTTATTTTTTATGAACTGTCAATATAGAAAGCTACACACTGCCAACAAGTTAAAAATTAGAAGCATGAATTTATTTTTAATATAATTATAAAAGTAAGAAAAAATTGATAGTTGTAGTGAGAATGCAAAAATGTGTTGTGTGCAAAGTGGTGTTTGATTTGAAGTAAGAAAAGGGGAAAAACCTGAACATCGGATGCGGAGAAGCCGCAATCATCGGCGCTTGTTATTTTAGTCTTATAGACAAAAACAATTGGCGCATCCACGTCACACCACGCCGAAAGGAACAGATCATCAAATCAAAATCAGAACAAAAATAATATGGTAAAGTGATGTATATTTATATTTATTTAATATATATTAAAAAAATAAAATATTATAAAAAAAAGTAATTTTTTATATTATTTCAAAAGTAATAATATTAAATAAATTTAAAAATTTTGTGTATGTGAAATTATTAATTTTTAAAATCGAAGGATCCTTTGTTTATGTTGTGTGAGGGAAGATTTTAGAAAATGCTCCAAAAGATAAAGAGAATTGTTGTGGGAGAAAGTTCCCGCTAATTATGGTGCATAATCTTTTATTTAACACTTCAATTAGTAGTAACAGAATCAATATAAAATGGATTTGATATTTGTTTCATTAGAAAGCTGTTAAATTAAAAAATAATTTTGTTGATTTACTGAAAAATATGATAGATGTGATGATAATGTGAAAGAGAAACGAAAGAATAATTATATTTTTATAACATTCTTTTAACAACATAAATACATGTTATTTTGTGATTTGTCTAAAATTACTCCACAATCAATAATAATAATTATAAATATTAACATAAACTAATCACAAAATGACACATAAATGATGTTAAAATGTCAAAAAATATTTTCAAACGAAATTGTAAGTTAAGTAGAATAGAAAGTAATAAGAGAAGTATATTAAGTTTTGAATTTGCAAGCTGTAAACACCCCACCTGACTCAAACTTTCCGAGAAAGTATTGTGTTGTGATGAAACAGAAGATATTATATTCATGAAAATTCAAATACGCGTATTCCATTCCAGCCAAGCATCTCCGCCACATACTCTATTTCCAAACTTCTCCAAATTCAATCAATTATTATGCATTGCACTCTTCTTTTCCTCTTACAATCAACTCTTCCATCAAAACACTTTTATAACTTCCTTATATAGGAGGTGGAGTTGCTTCCATTGGGTGGTAGTGAAATTGCCAAAGACATGTTAATTCATTATTCTCAATTTCATAATGATTAATATGGTTATTTTTTATTTTGTTTATTTTAAATATGTTTAACGAAATGGTGAGGATTTAAGTTTACTTCATTTGTTGTATAGGATGAAATGAAATACATAAAAATGACAAAAAAAAATGTTTTTTTATTGAATTATTTGAATGATGAAATATTTTTAATAACATTTAATAAATAAATAGTTCCTGATGAATATAAAATTAAAGAGATCTTATTTATTTTAACAAGATAATTACTTAAATAAATAAAAATTGAGGCACCAACTTACTATTATCTTTCAATTATTTAAGACGTGTAACATAATTTACATTCTGCATTTAGAAATCTGAAAAAGATATCACATTTAACTTCTTCTGTGAATTGATTTTTTTTTATAATCAAATTAATGAAAACAAAATATAACTAAAACATTTAGTATTTTTATTTTATAATGCTGTCATAATTATAGAATTTTTATTAAATTTAAAAAGGTAAAATGAAATAAGAAAAATAATAGTGATTTAGTGTAAACACATGATGATGACATGTTTGCACAATGGCACATGTGCGACAAGACTATTTTCTGCCTTTGTGCTCTTCACTCGGCTAGGCCAAGGGATATCCAGCTATGTGCTGGAGTCAACAATTTCACACATAACATGTTTTTTAAATAGGAAAAAGAAAAAGAACGTTCGTCAATTACTTACTTATCAATGTAGCATCAGATTCAAGAAGTTCGTCATGGGGTCATTCAATTCAATTATATGCATATATAGATTACAGAAGTAGAATAGTTACATGAACTTGCACTCCTCAAAGAGGATACATACAAACACAAGTTGGTCTTTCACACAAACTGAGCCCGAAGACGTTTCTTCCACTACATTAGAGCTCCTGCAAAAAGAAAAATTAAATAAACAACGGATTCATTAGAGGGAAGACTAAGAGAAATGATGCACGACTAGAACAGAAAAGCAAACTTTCACTGCTTTAAGACTCACATGAACAATGTTGAATTAAGACAAAAATGAAACTGACTGTAACAGCACCCACCATGACACACACACAAGACCCACATGTATCTTTAAGACGACAAATACAAAATTTAGTATGAGTATGATTGCAACCACCGGACAGAATGTGATGGGAAAGTTGGAATTTATTGTGCCTAACCTAGCCATAACCCTCGGAAGCAACTAAGAAACTCAATACATATAATTAATAAATTAAGAAAAGGACAAAACTTAAGATGCATGATTACAGTGCCACAAGTATTATTTGTTATTCCCCAATCAGATTTCGAGATTGTCACGGTAATTTACACAATGTCGAGGTTTTATTATCAGGATGAAACTCTGATTCTAATTGGTACTATATCTAAGTAATGTGTACCTATCCCATGCTGAGGTATGTCTTGAGTATCCCCGTGACACGTTCTCACCTGGTGTGTATTATCACTTTTCTCTTGTTAAATATGTATTGGGATCTTGATTTAAGCAATGAATGTTTGTTTGTATTCTTCCCCTATGGATATTTTCTTATTCTGTCTGTTTCTGTAGGTGTACAAGTACTCCTTTCAAACATTACAGACTTGCTGTTTAATTTCTTATCGGGTTTTATCAAATCACCATTGTTAGTGTCCAAAAGCCTAGGACAATTAAAGTATCAACCCCTAAAGGATAATTGTTTGTACTAACTCAGCCTAGGACATTACCGCTGAAGGCCTTTTCTAACTCAGCCTTTTAACATTACAACCGACTTGTTGCTTAATTTTTCATCTCAGAAGTACTCACCGTCATTGATGTCCAAACAAAAAACCCTAGTGAAACAATATTATTTAAGTATCTCCCCTGATTCACATTTCATTGTTAGGTTATGCTTACTTTTCATATAAGTTATGAGTGGTAATGCTTATGGAATACATAATACCTAGATTAATTTACTGGCTGCAATCTCCAAATGCAATTCACTCGAGTTGTTTATCCTTTGAAGGACCATTCGCTCTAATAATGTACACCTGAAAAGAAAACATTAGCAACCACAATATGTGTCATGGTTAGAGAATTCAAAGAGAATTCCAGTAAATAGCAAATATTGCGATAGCTCAAAAGGGATCAAGTAACAACAGAAAAGAAAACTGAATTACGAAGGTGTATGGTGTAATAACCACAACAGATGTATGTATCAAATATCACTAAGACAAAGTTGGCCTGCAGTGTATGGTCAGTCTATTATAAAAAGTACAGTTTATTTATGCCAATGTGACCGTGGAGTAGAAAACACCCTTAACCATTAATTGGGTTTGAATTTTAT